TGCTGCAGGGTCCATGGTGGCTGGTTCGTACTGTCACGGCCAGCAGGGCAAGCCGTGTGTAAATTATTAAAGGACACAAAGTGCAAACACGGTTTCTGATGAGAGTGAGCTTTATTAAGGAGGATAACATTCAACAAAAGGGCGAGGGTGGCGAGAACAGAACTGACAAAACCTAAACTGGGAAAACTAAGAATAAAGCTAACCTGGAAGATGCAGGGGAACCACACAGGATGACAGAGGGAGATAGGGTTAGACCACGGACTCAGAGACGCGGGCTTAACACAGAGACATGCCTACACTAGAGGGGATACACAGAACCAAAATGTAAGAATAAACAAAGATACATCAAGAAATCAAAGATTAACAATACAGAACAGAAAACACTGGGTCACAGAGCCAGGACCGTGACATTGGGTCTGTCGTGGGTTTGTTACAACAATATAGATTCACAACTGCACCAAAGAGTAAAACTGTTGAATGTGGATTATTAAACATTAGGTCTTAGTTTTACAAGTCTCTATTACTGCATGAAAAAATAATTGATCAACAAATTGATTTGATCTGCCTCACAGAAACCTACTTACAGCAGAACAATTATGTTATGTTAAATGAATCAACACCCAGAGTTATACAAATTGTCAGAATCCTCGAAGCAGGGAGGGGAGCAATCTTCCACTTAGAGTTTATTAGTCAACCACAGACTCTGACAGAGTTTCAGTTCATTCAGAAGCCTGATGCTTAGCCTTGTCCACCCTAACTGTAAAACTCAAAAGACCATTTCATTTGTTTTCTATCTTACACAGAGCTTCTGTCTGATTTAGTGCTCAGCTTAGATAAAATAATTATTGTGGGTGATTTTAAGATGTATGTAAGCATTAAAAATGACAGCATTTAATCTATTAATAGGCTCAACTGGCTTCTCTCACAATGTAAAAGCAACCATCCATCACTTTAATCACATGCCAGATCTTGTTCAGATAGAAACTCAGCATTTAACAGTGTTTCCTGAAATCCCTCTTTAATCTGATCATTTCATAATAATGTTTACATTTATAATAATGCATGACACTACAGTAGATGTCTTTCTGAAAGTGCTGTAACTAAGTTTAAGACATGATTCCTCTACAGTTCCTGCACATCTGTCACGGTTTGCCAGGGCAAGCCGTGGGGATGTTGGAGAAAGGACCCAAATGCTGGACTCAGTGCAAATATGAACAGTGCGTTTATTTACAGTAAGGTAAATGTACACACAATAAATCTCCAGTGCGTTCCTTCAACTCCTGTGTTGTGCCTTCTCCTAAGTGCTGGTATTCGTGCTCTCTGCTCCCGTGCCTACGCACACCCCGTGCGTCCTGCTGTCCTGTGTTCCGCTCTCCTCCTGAGGAAAACACAACAGACGCAGCCGTTACGACACCAACTCCAGCAGGCATACACTTGACAGCACTAGAACCACTAACATGGAGTCTAACTCAACGATCCTGCGCCAGAGGAAGCTCCATCATTCTGTTAAGCAGCTCCCCGACGAGCCTGATCAGTAGCAGGTGTGTGAGATCCTGGGCGTGACCAGCCAGCTGGCAGGGCCACACCCACCAGGCCTGGGAGTGTCACTGCTGCACTCACACACACACACACACGCACACCCACAAGCATGGAACACAAGAACACAGCACAGTGCAGCAAACATACATCATATGCTATAATAATGATGATAATAATAAACGTCCACACTGCTCACGGACCCCGAGGCAACATCTTTAAATCACTGGTGAGCAACATCTGAACCATGAAGGAACTTTCCATACTGCTGTGGATGCTGCGTCTTGTAACGCAGGGCACGATGTTTCACTGCAAGTCTGGACTTTTGGTTATAGTCACCCTGCAAACCTCCTGTTGTTTATAACATATTCACCCCAGAAGTGTCAGTGAGAATAAACATGTTTTCTAGCTTTTCTTCTTACAGTTGAAATACATCATTTATGTCAGCATAGTATGTGAGTAACAGGTTACAGTGAGGATGAAGTCACCTGATGCTGCAAATAACATTTTCTGTTGAAAATACAAAACAAAAAACTAAAGAACTGACGGAGTCAGAGGTGAAAACTTTTAATGTGTCGCTCTCTCTCTCTGCTGATATGATTGAATTGAGCTCGCCCACCAACCTCTTTCTTCTTGACAGTAATCATTCAAATAAGATATCTGTATATTATTTATTTATCTATTTAATTGTATTAAACTTTGGAGTTTAGTGTTTAAGTAATTGAAGTCATATTAGTCTTCACAGTCTACAGCTAAATAATGAGAGATAGGTATTGTTTGGTTTTACACGTGCACGTGTGATAAACTGAATCCGTAATATCAAAAACATGAATGCAGTCATTACAAGGCGCAGCATCAATAAGTGTGGTTATTCAAAAATGGGAATCCTTGTCCCAGGAATGCGTCGAAGCAGCAGGTACGCCACCTGCCATAACTGGGGTGGAGTGCACCATCGTGTTTTGTCATGGTCATGTGATCTGGGTGTTTTGAACCACGCTTCTGAGCAATGTTTCGAAACATCTGTGCTTTGGAAGGTCAACACAGTGTCAAAACAGCTGTTTCAGTCTTCTCATCCCTACTTCCCACTCCTCTATAGACCTTCCCTGGAATTCCTCCCTGAAGTGTGGGGAGCCTGTTCTCTGAGCGTCCTACAGAGAATTTTGGATTGTTGTGCATTTTCCCCTTGGACACCTGGAGTCCCATTTTCTCCTTTTGCTTAATTGTGGATAGCATTTTCTGGTAAAACTCAGAATCACAGTTAGTGTGCATGGGATTCTTCCAAGCCCTGCATTTGAGTCCATTCCAGTATTCATGACAGAAGTATCCAGCCAACTTATGGATTTGGTGGACTCAGCGGACTCAGGTCATGTTCATCACGTCCTTTCCACCCAGGAAGTGTAACTCGGCTGGCTCCACGTGATTGGAGAGCTTGCCTCTGGCTTAACAAACTGTCCTAGTAAGCCCAGCTCTGTCTCCAGTTAACCCTCTGCAGGATATACTACCTCAGCGTTCTCTTCACCCTAACCTAAGGTTGCTTCCACCCCAGAAGCATTTGTGTGGTGCACTGGACTTTGAAGTCTTATTCAGCCACTCCACCAACCCGTCAGTGTGAGGGTGGTAGACGCTGATCAAAACAGATTTGTAGACGTCCCCATGCACACACCTAACCTCCACCCACTCTGCCTCTAACAGTGCTCCGGCCGAACCAGAGTTTGGTGGACTACAGTCTGCGTGCAACTTGAATCTACCATAGCCTGGCGTATACCCCTTTGTTATACTGTGTGTCCAGCAACACAGAACACTCATCCCATCTCCATCTGTGGGCACGCCCTTGTGTGGTTACCATCTGGTAAGGATAACGGAGTGGGATGAGTGGAAGACAGCCATCAACACTCAACTGGGCCACTTTGAGTTTTTGGTGATGCCTGTTGGTCTTACGAACAGGTCCAGAGTGTTTCAGGCCCTCGTGAATGATGTCCCTTGGTACTTCTTTAAATACTTTGTCTACCTGGAGGATTTTTGTCTTCAGACCTGATGTTGTCTTCTATCTCCTCTGTATAGACCTTCCCTAAATTTACTCCCTGCATTGTGGTGAGCCTGCCTGTTCTGAGAGAGAGTTGGATTGTTTGTGTTTGAATCCCCTTTCCTTTCTCCAATAGATCTTTCTGAGAGAAGCCCTATCATTAATTAATGCTTCAACCATAAATATTATTAGCCTATCTTTATGAATCAGCTACGTATCAGGCCTTCAAGATGGCAGCAGTTAAACTGTTACTTAAAAAGCATCATTTGACCAGCTGTCCTAGCTACAGGCCAATCTCCAACCTTCTTTTTATCTGAGAAACTCTTGAAAGAGAACAGCTAACTGATCATCTGTAAAAAATGGTTTATTTGAAGAGTTTCACTCAGTTTTTATTGTGCTTGGCTTACTCTGAATGTTAAATTAACCTGGCGTCCAGGTTATCAAGGAATCTTGGAGTAGTTTTGATCAGGATCCTTCAGTGCACATATGAAATATATGCTGCTTTCTTCCTCTCTGTCTCAGAGATTATTGATCTTTGGCTCTGTCTTCCTCAGCTCACCCCCAACTGGTCAGGTTAGATGGCCCCGCCCCTCCCTGAGCCTGGTGTTGCTTCTTACTGTTTCTTCCTGTTAAAAGAGTTTTTCCTTCCCAGTGTCCCCAAAGTGTTTGCTCAAAGGGGCTCTTGTTTGATTGTTGAGGTTTTCTCTGTATTGTTGTGGGAACTCTTGGAGAATACATCAAAAAGCACCTTGAGGTGAATGCTTTTGTGATTTGGCATCATCTAAATAAAACTGAATTGAATCACATCACTTTTGTCATTCCTAACATTTACACTCCAGGTCATGTACTTGGGGAGGGACTCGGTGTCTCACCTAAACAAATGTGGTCAGGGGAACGGTGGACTGAGATTGGCAGACAACCTGCTCTATCAGCTGAGCGGCAGGTGCATTTCTGTTCAACACTTAGGTTTCACTGATATCTTCATATTGCCTTACATTTTGAATGAACTATGAACTGTCATGCATTGATTTAGTGGATAGAAAAAAAATTGAGGAGCCGAGAAAAAGGCTTCCAGGGAAGACAAAGCTCTGAGTGTAACAAGATCATTTATTTTACTGTTACTGCAAGTTCTATTATTATTATCGTTATTACAGTTGAAATAAATATTTTACACAAACGGTGCTTGTTTTTAGGGTTGCTGTGTGGCCTGTAGAGCATTATTCACATAGCTTTCAATCATACTTCTGCTCTTTCCTGCGTCAACGTTCGCGAGCAGTGATTTTATTTTGTAAGCTACCAGAAGCCTCGTTGGTTGCGCTCGTGATAAAGCTGTTCCGTGTCTTCTGCGGAAAACATCCGAGGTAAAATAATAATAATAATGAAATAAATAATAAAAATAACATTAAGAATAATTAATGTTAAGAACAGTGGGGGAGGGGGCGGAGCCACCGGCCGCGGCTACTTTCTGTGACTCGTTAGATTCAGTGATTGTTTCCATCTTCACGTGAATCCGGTCTCGTGCGGGGCTCCGGTAGCTGATATCTGTGTGAGGGGAATAACGTTAGCACCCACAGGAGACGGATGCTTTCACGGTAAGCGGTGCATCAGCACAGACTGTGGTTTCACAGCTCCACGGAGAGCTTGCAGTGAAGCAGGTGAACACGAAGCAGACCGCGAAGAGCCGAAGTGGAAATCACGTCCAGATAAGTTTCCGTTCGAAAGACACAGATGCTAACGCAGCCACAGAGAAAGGTTTGTTGGACAGCTACCGTGTACCACCCGAGAACCCCTTTTGTCACTGCGAGTACCCTGGACGTGGAAATGTCCTCAGGCAACACAAGCCCACTGGCTTTTGTTTGTTTTTAGTGTGGTTTTACGACATGTGTACCTGTGGGAGCGCAACATGTAACCAGGTAGGCCCACAGCGGAGAGCCTCGCTCTAGCGTGGAGAGACCCTAACGCCAAAATGTGGCCGTTTCACGCCGCCTGCCTTTAACAGAGGTGCGAGCCCAGGGAACAATCATCCATCTGTCGCTGTGCATCGGTTAGTTTGTTAAAAAGGGATTTATTGAAACGTGTAAACACGCAGTCCAGAGAGCAAACAGAGCTTTGTAGATTTTGTATGACTGCCTTTATTCGTCAGCACAGGTGAGCTGTCATCAACAAGCTTTCCAAATGTGTTCGCAGTCTTCAGAAATAGTTCTCCGGGCTCCTAGAAGGACATCCCAAAGTTCACACACTGCTTCGTGATATTAAAGTCTGAGTTTGGAGGATCGTCTCTGACGCACAGTTTTATGTTGTGCATTTGTAATGTGTTCGGGATCGTTGCCATGCCGAAAAAATAAAGGCACTGTCCAAAACCCTTTTGGTACTGTGTGCTGGATCAAACTCTGACACTACTTTTCTACATTCGTATCCATTGTGCGGAGATCCCCACGGCTCCTGACTGAGCAGCAGCCCCAAACACCCAACCTGCACCGTCACACGGCTGCGGACGTCTGCCTCCGTGGATAAAGTTTTGGCTTTGACTTTCACATGCTGTTCATTTGCTGTGTAACCACTTCTTCTTCTTTTGTTTCCCCTGCATGTTTTAGGGCACACAGCTCATTATTTTGCAGTTAATAGTGCTTTAGTAATCACTTTTGTGGGTCACACTCAGACCTATAGCCTTTAGTGACGCGGTCACCCGTGAGCTGAACTGGTATCTATCTTTGCCTTTGTTCATAGATTCAACTAAAATATTGTTTACATATTTTGCTGCACCAGATATGTAAACGCATCTGGTGCAGCAAAGTGCATGGATTAAGTTTGCAGGTTAAAATAGTTGGCTGTTCATCCCTTAAGCTAAGTGCCTCGTAGTTCAGTGTTAAGATAAGCAGATTGGCAAACAAAAAGCCGTACTTTGAAAAAGTTTAGGGACAAGGACTGGAAAGTGAGTGAATTTGAGAAGGCCTGGAACTGCTGTACAAGACATTTGAGAAGCGCCGTGGACTACACTTAAAAGCCTAACTGAAATGAATTCTATCAGTTCAGCAGAGAAGAAAAGTGGTCAAATATCCACCCAGAAGCTTGTTCGTGGCTGTCGAAAGCATGTAGTCAAGGTGCAACTTGCTAAGGGACATTTAACCAAATATTAGCGGCGTGTATGTGTATAATCTTGAGTGTGCGTGAGAGAAAATCCAAAATAAGTTCAAATGTTCCCCCTGCGATTCTTGTCATTTAAAGCCATTAAAGATGTCTGCTGTGTAATGATTCCACCCGGGAAAAGGAGCAGTTAAAAAAGTTAGCGTGACACTTCTACCTGTTGCTCTCTGGTGACTTTGTGTTTCTTTATTCAGGTCATGTGAGATTTATGGAAAGCGGAGGAATGAAGGCAGTGACACAAAGAAAATCAGCGGAGTAAATGTTAATACGTCCAACTTTGATATGTGGCCTACGGAGACGACCGGGCTCAGGTGAAACGGTCCCATTTGCAAAGCTGAAAAACCAGAGGTGGACATCACGATGATGAAGAGTAGGCGTGCTCAGATTGGACCTATGAGAGAAGGCTAAGCACGTCAAGTGACCTCACTGGATGGAGTGACTGTGGATGCAGAGAGGACGTCTCTCCAGTGTCCTGACAGTCTGCTGTCCACACGTGTGGGCTTCCCTCACAGGATGTGAACCTGAGACTTCGCTCGGTGTTTGATTTATGCTTCCATTGTTTTTGAAAGAAGACTGGGAGCTGCAGCTGAATGTAAACCATGCCTCGGAACCGAGCCTTTTCTGAGCCCGAGTATTCTGCTGAGTATTCAGCAGACTGCTCTGTGACGTTGCCCTCTGACCCCGGGCAGGCAGTGGGGCGAACACACGAGGTCACGGTGCGGACCTCGGGATGCTGCCTCTGTCTGCCGCGTTTCATGCGCCTGACCTTTGCACCCGAGTCCTTGGAGAATCTTTATCAGACCTACTTTAGACGGCAGAGACACGAAACCCTGCTGGTGCTCGTTGTGTTTGCCGCGCTGTTCGACAGCTACATCATCCTCATGTGTGCTGTGGTCTACACCGCTGATAAGCTGGCTTCTGTTTTAGTGGCATCAGTGGGACTGGCAGCAGATATCATTCTCTATCTGCTGTGCCGCTTTGGGCTGCTGCCAGACCGCATCTCCCGGCGGGTGTTGCCCTATGCCCTGTGGGTGCTCATAGCCGCTCAGATATTCTGCTACCTGGGGTTGAATTATGCTCGCTTCCACCAGGCCAGCGACACTGTAGGCTGGCAGGCTTTCTTCAGTTTTTCGGTTTTTCTGACTCTGCCTTTGAGACTGACTCCCATTGTGCTCATCACCACTGTGTCCTGTGGGGTCCACACCCTGGTTCTGGGTGTCACCATTGCCCAGCAGCAGCAGGATGACATACACGGCGCAGCACTCGGCAGACAGGTGAGAGTTGAGTTGTCTGTTTGTTAATGCATTGAATTTCCTGTGTCTAATGGCATGTAGCCAGATGTAAGGCAGTAAAGCTCCCCAAAGCCAAATATCTCCGTTTCACAGGGATACTAACTAATACTGGATAGGTCTGGTAACTGTACGCAGATTACACAGTTGACAGAACAACCCGCAGAGTCCTCTTTGTTGGTTTCCTTTTTAAATAACGTTTATTTTCATATATTGTGTTTTAAGAGAAGCAGTAGTTGACTACATGACAAGTTATTATTAACATTAGTGCCACAGGTCTGCCCTGAAAGTATGGACGAGTGTCCAGATGAAACCAGAGTCATGAAACTGCATTAGGAACAGGAAAAGTTTGACTTTTATGGTAAAATTATTATTTCAACTTGTCAGTATCTAAATCTGCCATTCACATATAACAGCCACTGTAATCGATACTTTTTCTATCTATCAATATAAAGTATCAGGGAGAAAGTAAATTATTCCATCTCATATGCTTCTTTTAAAAGGGCCACTTTGTCCAGCTGTTTGTCTTTTTCTCAGCAGTTATTAACACTTTGAGAAGATATTTGTCCTAAACGTGCAAACCAGTTAGTGTATTACCTAAATATACAGTATCAGAACTACAGTCAAGCTCAAAACCTAGTGTGACTTTCATTTGTGCCACTACGTCTGACCAATAACGTTTGTGATAGTTGCATCTGTTGTATTATTAGATCCAAATCTGTCGTTTAATGGAAAAGCTAATAAAATTCTTCCATGAAAATTTTCTCCACTGGCAGAACTGGAGGTGCTGTTTTTGTTTTAAACACATATTTGTATAAAACTCACCTATTAGTGTTATATTTGCCTCTTATGTCCCATTTGATTTTGTCTTTAATGAGGACAAAAGGGTTTTTTCCCCTAGTGCTTTTTTTTTTTAGCAGAGCAGAGAATTTGCAACGCGACATTTCTAAACATACTATTTTCATTATTTCTATAGAAAACCGAAATAATTTCTGCTTGCACACGATACAAGAATTATTTCAGGAACAAAAAATGGCCGGTGGCTGTTTGCATGGTTTCTCTCCAGCTTCCTTCCACAGCCCAAAGACATGCAGTTAGTGCGTTACAGTGTGTCTCTCAGTGTTAGCTTTGCATCAGCCTGGTGACCTGTCCAGGGTGTATCCTGCCTCTAGGCTCAATTCCCCCACAACCATGCAAAGGATAAGCAGAAGATGGCTGTGAACCAAAAAAGTTATCACCCTGCAGAAAACGCCACCTTTTTATTGAGCTACAGCTGAAACCAATGCTGTGCAGTGATGTGCTTTAACTTTTCAACGCTCAAAGCTTGTAAAATCGAACTAAAGCTGAGGCTTACCTTCCAGTTTACACACTTTATAAAAACTTCAGCAAGCAGGGTTTGTGTAGGTGCTTGAAATCCTTTCTTGGATTTTAATATTGTCTTTTCAGGGTTTCAAAAGTGCTTGAATTTTGGATGTGGTGCTTAAAACTGTATTTCATTCACAACATGAGTATTTGATTGCATAGTTTGCTGATCAGATGGAGAAAGAAAATGAGTCAAAAAGGCTAAAAGAAACATTTCTCCGCTGGGGCGTGCTTTGCACCTCTGCGTCAGTCAGTCTGTTTTAATGAGTGTTGGCTGGAAAACGACAAATACGAATTATGGATAAGACGAGGACCAAATCCATGCGTAGCCACATGCAAAGTCTGCAAAAAGGATTTTCACAGTGGGGGAGTCTGCGTTCTTGAGTCACATGAAAGGTACGTGCACATTACACAGTAATGCTAATGTGTTTATTTTCGCTAGTTAGCAAATTCACAGGATAAATTGTGAGTGTGATGCAGTAAAGCAGTACTAGTGGTAATTTATGGAATATGCGTTAACCTAGCTAACATTACTTAGCAGTAACAGTGACTGTAATTAGTTCCCTCAACTGAAAGCTTTAAACATTAGCCCAATATAACCAGGGCTTTCTGAATAAAGGCTATATAGCAGCAAAGTTGTCACCACCCAAATAGAAGAACACTGTCTATATTTGTATGTCTTACAATTTGCAGCTTTTTAAAGTGCTAACTTGGTTCCTTTGGGAACACTTTGAGGGGTTAAATAGAGCTGAGAATCCCAATGCAGTCTGTGATCATTTAGGACTTCAGCAATAACAAAGACAGAAACAAAGTTAAGCATATCACTGATAGTTGTATTGGGATTTATTATTTTTTTTAAATAACCCGTCTGCTATTTTTCTTTTTTGCTGAGTCGGAAGGAAGATTGTGCTTCATCTGAAGTCCAACAGGCTTCAAAGACCTGCAACAGAAAATGAAAAGAGTCTGGAGGATTTGCAGAAACGGCTAACTGACAAACTCAAGGAACTCTAAGGCTGCGTTCACACTGCAGGTGAAAGCGCATCAAATCCGACTTTTTTGACCCTATGTGACCATCTATCCCATCATGGTGTGACAGTGTGAACGGCACAAATCCGATATTTTCAAATCCGATCTGGGTCACTTTCATATGTGGTGCTGAATCCGATACATATCTGATGTTTTAGAAAGCGACTGCTGTTTGATGGTCAGGTCGCATTGAATCCGTCTTTTACGTCACTGACACAAGACAGACGCCAATTATCAGCGCCAGAGAAGACATCGCGAACGCTTCCTGGCCATCCAGTGAAACTGTTGGGAAGATAACGTTGGAGAAACGTGAACATTTTCTTTGTCCTGTATAATCTGCAGATTCTGACAGGAACTATCCTTTGAAGCAGCGCTCCTCTAAAACAGCAGTAAGGATCATTATTAGGTTATTTACATTATTATGTAAATAACAAAATAACTTAAAGCAAAATTGGGAAACGTAAAGTCCGAAACAAGTCTTTATATTAAGGCTATCACTCAAACAATACTGTTTGGTCTGGGTTAGGGCTGTTCAATATAACGATATATATCAATGACGATATAAAAACGTCTGTCGTTTCATTTTATGCTATCGTTTGTTTCGTGGTGTCGCAAAATAAACTGTTTACGGCAACATTTTTTCATGGTTCTGATGTCACTGTGGTTATTATTCATTTCTTAAAGTTCTCTCTTTCTCTTATATTTAATATAACCACACTACAGATGGACAAGCGCCTGTTTTTATGCGTTGTGGTTAGCAACAACGACGGTAACAGCATCGTGTGTCCGCTAGTTTATGTTCTACATAAACCTTTCACAATAAAGCTCAAGATCCTGTTGAGACTTTTCAAAATAAAC